GGGAGGGATGGAAACACAGCACTTAAAAAAAAATTCTTCTTATGTTTCTGTGAACTTCTAGGGCTGCTTCTGTGGCATGTTGTGATGCTGCTTTTCTGTTTTGCAGAGCGTTGCAGCTCCCTGCTTATTGATTAAGATGCTGATTTAGGAGAGAGAGAAAACTGCCTTGCACCGTCACGGTGCTGTTTCGTTTTGTACTCTTGAGCATGAAATGCGTCTGTCTTATTGTTTGTTCTTATCCGAAGCGTTGTGTGCTTCGCTTTCAAGGTGAGATGGTAGAGAGAACGGGGACAAACAAAAGCTATGAGTTAAAATTTCTAGTTTCTGGCTACTTTTTGTGGGTGTGTGAGGGTAGGAGACGTTGTGATGAAACTGTAAATGATGCGAGTTGCCACCGACTGCTGCTTTGCTGTGAGGTGCTGAGTTTTAATCCACATTTTGGTGCCTGGAGGGTACTTGAGGAAGATGCTTTACCTCGCTGTATTTCTGGGCATCGTTGCTGCACTGTAGCATAAACTGAAAAAGAAGTTCCTGAGAGTGGGAAAAATACTCTATTTTGAGATAATATTTGGTAACGACTATGTAGGGTTAGTAAGTGTGACATGGGAGAAGGTAGCAGCAGGCATGAGGGGGCTGTTCTGCACCTGAGTGGTTATTTCTTCCAACCACTTCAGGAGCCTTTACTTTTTCAGGCAACTGTTTACAGTGTTGCAAAGATGCTATGGTCTGTAGCCTTACTTTGATAGGATTAGAATATTTAATCAGATAATAGTATTATTTAGCGATATACCACAATTTCATAACGGAAAATAAAATTTCTGTCCTACAAATTGCTATACATACATATATGCATGTATACGTAATTTTTTTTTCTATAAAAGAAAAAGCAGTACTTGAATATTACTACCAGTCCTTTTATCCAAGTTGAGTGTTAAAATCAGTTATCTTGGGGCATCTCTTGAAACAGATATTAATGATCTGCAACTTTAAAGGATCTAAAACAGAAAGCAGTGAACACATTTATAATAATGCTTTCCAGTCTGAGGATCCCATAGCATTTTAAGATGCAGTTGTGTAAATACTGTTTTGCTTATTTTGCTCAGTAAAAGCCATTACTCGTTGTGCAGAAGGAGTCAAAGTCAGACAAATATCTACATAGGTAGAGGAGGAGCATGTCTTAGCCAGTAACTATTGCAGTTGCTGCAGCTAATGCAGCTACGTGCACGCGTGCAGCGGTGCGGAGCTCAGCGTGGGCTCACAGCCCCAGTAGTCACCCTGGTTCTGGGTACGTTTGGATCCTACGTGGAATATTCTGCTGCCAGATAAAGTCAGTTCAGGTGTAGTTCAGTGCACATGTGCATCCGTCACAATCACCCTAAAATTCCTTTTGTACCCCATTCCTCCACCTCTGAGGTAAAAACATTGTTTGCATGTTAAAATGTCATTATAGAAATCTATTTTATGTCATTATTTCCTCCTTGAATTCTTGTGTTTCTTTCTGAGTGCCCTATATTTCAACGAGGTGACAAGAGAATGAGAAGATATTTAGAAAAAACACAGTTAGGCTGAGATGTGGAAAGCTTTCTTTATTAAGAGAAATGGAAAAGTTTGTGACCCGCTTGGAAAGAAGGCAAAGAAATACAAAAAAGGAGTTCTAGAGGTGCATAACAATATACGGTACTATTTTGCAGAATATAAAGCAGATATTTCTTTTGCCATACAAGAAGTCATTTATTGGAATTGCAAGGCAAGAAATGTAAAACTAGTTAAAGTCATATAAATTTGTATTACACTGCATAATAAGCATGTGGAACTCATTACTACTAGAATCATTGACACCAAGAGAGTGGTAGGTTGTTTTATTGTTATTATTTTTACTAAAGATTAGATTTATTAAATAAAAACACAGACATGGTTTGTCTTCAAATTCGATAGAGTTATAAAAGACAATGGGTTTCAGGATATTACTAACTGGATGGAAAAGTAAGCAAGTGTCTTTATGGGCAAATGTGCCCCCGAAACCTGTCCATCAAAATGATTCTTGAAGTATTTAGCGCTGACCTTTGTCAGAAGTGAGGCAGCGGGATGATGGGCTGGTCTGGGAGCAGTTCCTGTATTCCTCGGCGTTCCCGTAGTCCAAGTGCCTTTGGAGAAGACTATTCAGGGAAAAGTACACCATGACCTGAAGTAACTCTTACTGGAGTCTCAGTATATTAAATGACCATTTCATCCACCGTGGATGGGTGGAAAATTCTGCACAGCACCATAGGTGGAAAGAAAAATTTTGCAGGTGCATTTGAGTAAAATTCGGCTTTTAGGAATTACAGTAGAATCTGAAATATCTGGTGCGCATAGATCAGCCACCAGGTTTTCAATGTTTGGTTTTAAAGACACCTGTGTGGTGAGCTCCCGATCTGTCTGTCTTGGAAGGAGGAAGGGCTGAGTCAAGTCTGCTGGAATTCAAAGTTAAGCTTCCTGCTGTGCTGGCCATCAAAAGTTTTGCTGGGATTAGCGGGCCGGCTCTTGCAGTTTAGCATCACTTGGAATATGTGCTGAATTCTTTCTATTATGTGGGCTACTTGGGGCATTCAGCACATATAAACCTATAATTAGTCCTTCTAAAAGAAAGCACTGTCCTGTCACCACGAATACGCTGATCTTAATGCGTAAATGTGCACTGTATCTGTTGTTATAATATTTCCACTGACACAATACACACTGGCCTGTAAAAAGGAAGCAGGGTTTGTAAAGCTTGCACAGTGGTCCACAGTTTTGACTGGTTTCTTCTGATGTTTAAAAATAAGAACTGTGTGAATGTAAATTTATTATTTTCAAAAACACCACCATCCCCAAAGCCTAGGCAACAGGATGCAGCTGTTGCTTTTTTATTTGAATCGCAGTCAATTAATGTTAATGATTGGTAAATTTGAATCAGTCTCATGGTTTGAATAAAAAATTAGTCTAATTTTTTATTTTCATGTGTACATGATAGCAATTAAACGTTGTTGCTTGTGTAATCCATTGCTATACTCTATGACATGAAGCAACTGGAATATTTGACCTCTGCTACAGCAAATGATAAAATGTAAGCGCAGTCAAATTACTGCACAAATTTAAATTTGAATATTTTACCAGCTTTCTCTGTAATATCAATAATTTATAGCAGATGCACAACTTAGTACTGTACTTTCATACATCTTTCTTTTCCTCACCATTGATTGGTTCACGAACAGTTGCTATTTATTATTTATTTTGAAAGCTTTTCTCAGAAACCCCAGGAGATGGATCTTGTGTCCATTCCTTAAGGCAAGTAGTAATATCAAATACTGTAATAATAATAAAAAAAGCAATAGTATTTTGAGCAAAGAGTAAAGAAAAAAAAAGGCAAGTTATGGATTGCTTGCTTTTTACTGACTAAATAATGATGGTTTTAAAAAGTTCCCTAGAACATAATATTGTAATAATTTTATTTTAGAAGGTGGATTAATAGGCACAGAGAATAAAGTCTGAAGAAAGGTCAACGGCAGCACAAATTACTCAACTAGTGTCTCAGTCCATTCAGTGGAGTGTTTTGGCAGGAGGATCTCAAAGCCCATTAATTTATTCATTCCTCTGCAATAAGACAAGCAACCACCTTTCACCTTAACTGGGTTGACAGTGTTTCTTGTACTTCAGATATTTGTCCACTGTAAACTCATCTTTGACCCCTGAGTTTTTGGAAGGAGTTCTCAGTTGCCCCTGCTCTCAGCTGGATTTTAATAGAGCCTCATGAAACAACAACAGGTCTAGATAAACTCAGTGTGAATTTATTTTGCAAGCTCTGCTGACTTTCTGACTTACCCCTGATTCTTACCTAATTTTTCTGCCTGGTTTGTTCACTCAGGCAGTGATTTGCCCAATTTCAAAGTGCTGAATATTTGGCTCATCTTCCTCTCTCATTTCTGGACTATTGCATCCCAGCCTTACTATTGTCCTATTTCTTTTTAACTTCTTCAGTTTCGTTAAAACAAACAAACAAACCAAAACCAAGAGAAACAAAACAAACAAAAACCCCCAACTTTACATTTTGGATGCAACCAAGACCTGCTGTGGTGAGTTACAGTAACGACTGACTTACAGCAGTAAATTCGTCTTTGCTTTAGACTTAGTTCTGCCAGGGTTATGCTTACCTTGACGTAGGCAAAAACTCTCAGCTGTCTCACTAGGTTTACTGGACTTCTGGCAGTTGTACAAAAAAAATACTTAAAACCCACTAAATTCTGAAACTTGATATTAATATTACCAGGTTAGCTAGTAGGTTTGTTTTTACCAGAAAGCTAAACCATCACCACTGTTCCAGTGACTGTTCTCCACCTGCAGCGTTCCTACTTCTTCTCCAAAGGACTGACACTCCCTTCCCCCTTATCTTCTCATCTCTCCATCTACTTCATCATTTTTTCTTTATGTATGAGCCAGACTCCATACAGGTAGATGGTTGCTGCTGGTGCTGCTTTTAAGCTAACCAAGGTTTCTTGCCTACCTCCTGGTAGTGTTCCCTTTTTTTAGCCCAGAGCTATGGTAAGCAGTCAGAAGTGGAAGAATTAGTATCCATTCAATGCATTCAGAGCCAGAGAAATACCTGCTTTTATACAGCTGCAACCCGACAGCTGTGTGGGCAGACAATAAACTACAGCTCTTCCTTCAAAATCATGATAGTTTTAGTAAAAACTGGGGTCTGGGTACACAGTTGAGCTAATCTAAAACCCAAGGTACTGACCTGCTTGGGCAAAATACCTACTCCTGAAAACCTTTGCCAAGCAGTAACAGAATAACCATGGAAGATGCAGGCCTGCTGGTGAATGGGCGGGTGATTTAGTGACAGCAGATGCAAGCAATAAGGGTGAGGATACTCAGTGCCGCCTTTGTCTCTCTCTTTGCTGCCCAGGGCTCAGGCTGGTGTGCCTGAAGTAGGGTTAGAGGAAATACCAGTAGCAGAAAAGGATGAGTCAGGGATCATCTCCGAAAGTTTGAACAGTGAGGGAGGTCCCTGGTGACTGAAGAAAGGCCGCTGTGGAACCCATCTTCAGAAAGGGCAAGAAGAGGAATTAAAAGTTGATCAGCTTCCCTTCAACTCCTGGGAAGGTCATGGAGCAAGCCATCTTGGAAGCAATTTCCAGTCAGATGAAGGAGACGGTGGTGACTGGAAATAGCCAGCATGGATTTACTAAGAGTGGATCATATCTGACCGACTTGCTTGTTTTCTGTGATTAAATGACTGTCTCTGTGGATGGGTGTAGAGCAATTAATGTTTTCTAGCTTGACAGTAGAAAGCCTTCTGACACCGTCTCCAAGAATATCCTTCTATCCAAGTTGGGATGTGATACTCCAGATGGATGGACTACCTGCTGGGTAAAGTCTGGCTGAGTCTCCGGGCTCGAAGAGTCGTGGTGAATGGCGCCTACTCTGCCTAGAGGCTCATCCCAAGTGGAGGACTGCAGGGGTTTGTACTGGGACGTGCCCTGTTTAATACCAACCACCCCAAGGAGGAGATGGGGCAGTGCATGCTCAGTCTTCGGCAGATGATGCCAAATTGAGGGGCCGCAGTCTGCTCACGTGAGGGCAGGGCCGCCGTTCAGAGGGACCTAGACAGGCCGGAGGAACGGGCGAGTGCGACATCCTACCCTTGGGATGGTCGAATCCCTGCACTGATACAGACTGGGGATGGACCGGCTGGGCAGCAGCTGTGCTGCTGAGGACTTGGGGGGCCCGGCTAGCGCTAGGCTGAGCACAAGTCCGCCCTCAGAGCCGAGTCGGCAGGCTACCAGCGCCGAGCTTTTCCCGTCCGTTTTGGCACGACGTTTTGCAGTCCTCACGGCTCACACCATGTCTGGTGAAGCCTTGATGCAGCCGCCGGGCTTTGCAGTGGCATGGCCGAGATGTGCTCGCGCATCTTGCCGTCTCGCCCGAGCGGGAGACCGACTGTGGTGAATGCATTGCGATGAGCAGCTGCAGATGGTAACGTTTTAAACCACATTGCTTGAATATATTGGGGGTTTCAACATGGGCAAACAAATGTGGAATGCAGACTTGGCTAGTAGCTTACAGTGGTTTAATTGATACGTTTTTCATGCAAACAGCCAAACAATAGAACTGAAAATAATCAATATCAAGTGATGGTTGCTGTCAGCCCTGCGTTCAGCTATTTTGTATCTGTGCTTGATGGATATGCATGTATTTGTAGGTTGTGCTAGATATTCCCTGACTGTGAAATTGCAGCAGCAGGTTGTGAAACATGTATGAAATTAAAATTTTGAATGCATAGAGGGCATAAAAATACGGATGGCTGTGGAGGCTTTGCTATGCAGGACGATGATGTGCATTTCTAAATAGTTGGAAAAGCTCCTCAGACCTCGCGAGGACGAGAGAAAAAAGCAGAATCCTTAAATGGCTTTAAAATCTAAGCAAATCTTTCTGCCTTCTTTCCTCACTGGTGGATTTCCCCTTACCCTAGGCTGAGAGCTGTTTAAAAGGAAGAACTTCAAGTTCTCACTTTTAAGTTTGGCACCATTTTTATCGTGTTTACATGTTATTTAATTGTATCCTTTGCAGGGCCGGTGTGGGCAGGATGGATTCTGAGGAGGAAAAACCTGAAAGGCTTCAAGAAAAGGGGGTGGGCCAGGTGTCCAGGAATAGTTTTTATCCCTTTTTTCTGCAAACGGAAGCCTCTTGCTAGCTGGGAGAATCGGATTTGTTTCAGCTTTTTGTCCATTTGAACGAAATCTAGTTTATGAGAATGGAGCACTTGTCATTGGTCTTGCCTTTCCCCTTGTGTTCCCTTGCTGCGTTTTCATTTAGAGCAACAAGATCCCAGCTGGGAAAGGCAAATGAAAAGAAAATCTGGGACTCTAGCTGGGCACTGGAGTTTCTTTGAGATGTATAATTCATCTATACACCTCAGTTTTATATTTCTCAGTAAAAGTAAATAAAATAACAATGAGTACCAAGTGGGATAGCAATGAACTTTGTGTTAGGACTGAATGATAGATCGCATGAGAAGATGCATGTGAAAGACAAAGTCATGGCTGATAGTCCTTTCACTGCAATCTTTTTTGTGCTGTTTGTAACACATTATTAACTGGTTTTGTTGGATTTTTTTTTTTTTAAATTACTGATATTCTATACTTCTTCCTACACTGATCTTTTTTCTGTAACAGATGAAGAGACATCTACACCTCATGCTTGTTACTAGGATGTTTACCTGGGCAATTGAGAGCTTTTAGGCAATATCAGAAAAAAGATATGAATTATATTTGTAGCCACTTGTATTCATCATGGAAAATAAATATTCACTCTTCAAAGCACGGAAGGACAGTGCTGCCCATAGTTTGGTAAAGGCTGAGGTGTGTTGCCTACTCTAGTTGTCAGGGACCACTGGTAGGTTGGTTAGTCTGGCACTCCGTAAGGGGAAGAAAAATTATTCTACAACCAACATAGTGATGTTTCCATTAGAAGTTGTAATGTTCTCTATTTGTATTGAATTTCATTTGAGGTTTACATGCAACTTTTAATCACAGGCCAGAACAAGGAAAAGAAACTAAAAGGCTTCATTGGAGATTAAAAGTGTTGAATTTTATTCTCATTAAAAGCATCCAGTTTGACTTCTAAATGTGACCAGAACAAATGTTTTGTGGCAGAGGATCTGTATGAAAAGTACTTTTACAGGAAAACAAGCTTTAATGTTGTATGCCTTTTCTTACAGGAAATTAAAATGCATGACTGACAGTGAAACTGTTGCACCTGACTGGCCTTACTACAAAACCATTGATAGGATCTTATCCAAAGTGACAGACCACAGCGATGTGAAAATGCATGAAAATCAGCAACCAGGTCCTTCTACATCACAGACGGAGGCCTCACAGTCTCCATCAGCTAAGTCTACACCTCTGTATTTGCCATATAACCAGTTTACATACGAAGGAAGGGAAGAGTGCTTTGAAGATGAACATTCAGAGAGCTCGTCAAGCTTACTTTCTTACAAGCTGAGGTAGCATCTATTTTTCCCCTTTTATTCTATTTCACAGAAAGAACCAGATCTGCTAGGTAAAGGGGACACCCTAGCACATTTTTCTCTAACAGCTGTTGTATCTCCTCTGTAAATCACAAATGAGATCTGTTCCCCAATCTCAGCCACTTTGCTGAATTAGGGCATTTTCTTTATTCCTTTCTGAGAGACTGGAAGGGAGTAGGAGGACTGGGCAAAAAGTCATATAATATTGCCAAAACTCAGTATGCATGTCACTGCTCACATGAGGTAGAGTGTTTGTAATAGGACCATAGGCATGTTCAAGAGAGTCCTGCCATACAATCAGAGATATAATATTTTGCTTAGATGATTTTTGGCTAGCTCTTGTTTTGCTTTTGGTATGAGTATGAAATTTCTCTGGCTTCAGCTATTATTAAAATGGTGAAAAGACGCAAATATAGACACTGAAATGCTACTCATGCAGTTTGAAAGTACGTTGCAACATTTTAAACACAATTGAGAGAGTCACTTTTTCAAAGTAAATGCTAGTCTGAGAATGCAAACATGTGTTTCCTTTTTTGATAAGATTGGAGTTCTCTGGAAGGCAGTGTTTTAACAAAAGGCAGAGTTGTACACTTGATACAAATTTTAGACTTTACTGGGCTCATTTTTCATTGAGTGGTGTGAAATAAGAGTTGATTACAGTTTTCTGGCAGGAAAAAAAGTTGATCCTAGAGATCCTTATCATGAGTCTGTGAGGCTTTAACTGTAACAGTAAAATTATCTGTCAGTCATGCAACTGAGAAGGTGTTGAGCTGGAAGAAGAACCAACCTAACAAGTTCAGATTATTGTTTCCAGGCCTACTCTTGGATGAATAAAACTAAGGTAAATTCATTCAATCATTCAAGTGAATAGTCCTTGAAGAGCTGATTATTTTTAAAAAGTTTTTTTTGGCAACTGAATATATATTAGGGTGTATAATTCTTGAACTGTAGCAACCTTTTTGTTCACAAGCAACGATCTTTTTTACCATAGTTCATCATAAGTAGTTGATATCCCTGATACACAGTCTCTCTTGATTTTAGGATTTGCAAGCTCCAAGATCATGTTTCTGATGCAGTAACTTTTTACCAATTCATAAGTTGATTTCCAAGAATATTATTTAATATTTAATTAGAAGGTCACTTTCCCACAAACGTAAGGACTATTTGATAGCATCAGACTTTAAAAATGCCAGATGTTAAGTTTCTTCAGCTCAGGGACAGCTCCAGGACAACACAGATTTTGTACCATAGGTGACTGGTGGGGGAGGACAGAGGTCACCACACCGGGTTTCATTACGGAGTGTAGACAACCCATCACAGAAGTCAAGCTAACCAACCACAGATGTGTATCTAATGTGCTTACAGTGTACAGGTAAACTCCCACGCTCATGTAGATGCTTTCTTTTACAGCTGAAGTGGACTTAAGCCTCTCTAACTGAATTATTTCCATAGTGATAAGATCTGAAAAATTTAGGCTATAGTGCATTTTAGCCAGTTTCGGGTTCAGTGTTTTGGTTTTTTTGTGGTTTGTTTTGTTTGTGGTTTTGTTGTTGTTGTTGTTGTTGTTTTTTTTTTTTTACTTTGTCCAAGGTAATTACCTAACCTGTTTTAGTAAAAAATATTTTAATTTTACTTGGCCAGTTTAGAAACTGCAAATCATTTAAATCTGGCCTTTAATGGCACAGGCTGGCTGCAAGTCTGTCTGGCAGGCAGTGATGCTTTGTCCACGCAGTAGGTCAGGCTGCGGTGCTGCTGTTGCCTGCTAAGGGTGGCTGTGCAACAGGGCTTGGGAGCAGGAGGGAAGGGTAGGTCAGCTGTCAGTGTGGTAGGACCTCCATAATACATTGCTCCCTGACTTATGAATGCAGCCATGTTCTCACAGTCTCTACTACAGAAGAATTTTGTGCTATATGATATTGTGCATATCATCCAACAGCAAGAAATGCACGTATTCACAAGTTCTGCTGTGTTTAAAAATAGAAAACGTTGAGCAGAAGATACCACGTGAGAGATTAGTATAACATTTCAGGTGAGCATTGTGATCGGATTAAAAATTAGAAGGCATTTGTGATATTAATGGGGCACGCATCTGGAAGGAGGGAAGGTGGTGTTACAGTAGACACAGGGGGTTTTGAAAAGCTTGTACAGCTTTGACCTGTTTAGTTTAGCCTGATGAATGAGAGAAGAGTAGAAAACCCTTTTTTGGCCAGAAGGAAATACAGCACTTACTAATGATATCAGATGGATTAAAATCACTTAGAGCTGCCATGGTAAGACAAAGAAGACAATTCTTTTAGAGTTACTAATGGAAAATTATGAACTGAAAAGCAATTTTCGGCTTACGCAATTAGTGTGTCATCCTGTATTTGAAAAACACCTTGAAATAGCCAACAAGAGAAAAAAGAATTCACATGCAACTTTGTGCTCAGCTTGACTTTTTTTGTAAATGCCCTTGTCTCTAAACGGTACACAACTGATCTAACAGATTCAAAAAGTACTGGGATTTGAAATTAAAAGAGTGTTTCAGGTCCTCAATTTCCCTCTCAATTTTTGTACTTTATGGCTATGCAAAACAATTATTTTGAAACATATTTTGAAAAGTATACACACATATCTATATGTAAGATATAGATGCATTTTACAGCTGTGTGTTTTACAACTGTATATTCCTTTTTTTTTTCTAGGAAGCAGACTATACACAGATCAGTCAAGTGTGCAAAGTAAGCTTATGCTATGGGATTTTTTTTCTTCAGTAATAAAAATCATGTTATGGCAACAATGGATAGTGAAAAAACCTCAAACAGTACTTTTTTTAAAGTCAACTTTTAAAATTCTGAAAACTTTACTGTTATTTCCTTAAACTCTCAAACACAGCTTTTGAGTGTCAGCTTTGTATTTTCCACAGTGTCCTTGAACGTAGCAGGAGGCTACTTGGCTATATAAATTAAAACTTTTTAAAAACCACTGAATTTAATGTTTAGCTTTCATCATAGAGAAAAATGTCAAGACTTATACTTCAGTCAATATATACATACTCCTAAGCTAAAAATAGTTGAAATTGGGTTTCTTTGCATTTTATTTGAGATTCTTTGAGTTTGGGACCTTCTTACAAAAAACAGATTTTGCTAGTTAGTGATATACAATTAATGTGGGATAAAATTAATCTTTAGTTTTGTTGCAATTTGCAGATGAGAAAAACATTTAGAATCTCTATTTCCCCTTAAGGGGTGCCTGCTATTTGTTTAGTGTTGTTCTAACACTGCTCTTGGGCTTCAACAAAGGCTGTATTATACTGCAATGTCCATAAACCATCTGACAATAATAGAATTATTCTGTTACGGTCAGATAATATAATACAATGTGGTGGAGTCTTGTACTACAGCTTAAAATTTGAAAATCAAAATTCCTGACTCCACGATAAATTACTTTTTACCTAATTGAAAACAGTGTTGTTTCACCCTGTGGAGCAATTTATAGTCTTTATTTTCATTGTTAAAGTAATGACAGAATATAATTATACAGGCTGTGAATCTGGTTCAGACTTCACCTCTTCTGCCATTTCTGTCACACTGAAAATGGGGGTGAAAGAGTTACTTTCACAGATTAATAGACTGTAATAAAACCACCACGTCATGTAGTCTGACTTCCTGTTAAACACCATCCATGTGTCTGAATTCAGTTATTCCGGTGTGGAGCCCAGAAACCTTATGGAGTGGGTTCTGTGATGTTCTTCCCTTCAGCAGAGGACTACAGCACTCAGGAGCCCTGTGCCTTTGTTGTCCTCCACGTCTTTGTTCCTTTGATTTTTTTTCTTTTTTTTTGAGTCTTGGAAATTTTTTACTAGATGTCCAGTCTAGATATGACATATTCAGAGGATGGAGAATGCCCTCTTCCCTACAGGGAACTGTTCGAGTAATTAACCCCTTGCTTAAACCTGTGTTTGTTTATGACATGAATATAGTGAATTAAACTTTCAGATGTTACTTCTATTTATCTTTCGTTTTACTATATTGGAGACCCTTTCAGTATTTTTCACTTTTTGCCTCAAGGTTGTTGTGTACCATGATCACACCATCTTTGGTATTCTTTAATTTTTTTTTAGATTAAATAGTTTGGTACAGAAGGTTTACTTTACAGAAGGTTTAAAAAAGGAGGAAGAGTAAGAATTGGTAACATGAATTAACAAAGATATGAATTGTTCAATAGAAGTGCATTAAAACTTGGTGAGGATGCTAATTCAGGAAATAACAGTTTTGGCAAAGCCTTTAATCTTTCTAAAACTATGCCATAGCTATTTAAAATCTGAATGGGCAGCATCTACAAAGAAGTCTGAGCTTTAGGCTATGCACATTAGGTAGTGCCTCTTAACTCATTATGCAGACTTGTTATCATAGCAAGATGCTTTGCCCAGGCTCCAAGCCATTTTTGTGGTTCTTTTCTACACTTTACTTCAAGGATGAGGCTCATTAATTCTGAGTGCATTTGGCTGTATTTGAATGAGCCTAGTTTACCAGAAGATCCAGGTTGCCTGATTTTCAGTCCTCGCACTCTGAAGATCTTTGTGCCATCTCTAATATTAATATTATTTATTTCCAGATCATTGTTAATTATTTTCCAGAAAGATATGGGTTACGGAGATCTACTCAGATTTGTACATAGCTAAAAAAGCACAACCAAGCCAAAAACAGCTGTTAGTAGTTGAAAGCCAGAAATTCCAGAAACCGATGGTACTGGAGACCCATTTGCCGTGAAGTAGTCAGAACGGAAGAATTGTATTTGGTGTTTTGGTAGACAGATTACTCTTTGTATTCAACTCCCGTTTCATTAATTATTCACACACATCCCTGAAATGAGCCTTATTGGGTGAGCGTAGGCAATCAATTGAGGAACTTTTAATTGAACGGTGAATTAAATTGATCTTAGATAGGTAGACAGCAAATACATTTGTGACTTGCCTAATACGTTGCCTAATTATATCTGGAGGTTTTGCTCTGTTTCCCCCTGGTCCTCCTGCTCAGCATCCTAGATGCGAAGGAACATTTTCTTTCCCTGGGTTTACTTCATTTGAACGCTGCCTGCCTGTTTTGGAGCATAGTATTGAAATAGCTTTGCAGGGTCCTGCCTGGAACATGGTCCCAATGCCAGAGCTCTTCCACACTTCATTTGTATGGTCAGGGGAATACCAGTGCCAATTTGCTTGGAGATAACTGCCATAGACGCTGGAGGCCCAAGAGTATCAGCAGATTGTATTTGAGGTCCTGGATTTCCTAGACCCCTCTTTCCCCCACATCTCAAACTCTACCTTCAGAGACTAGGCTTGGCAAAAAGTGGAGATGCTTCTTTGGCAGAGGCTATGGATGCTGTCAGGAATCTGTTGCACCCCTATTGTCACAGAGGTGTTGGCTGTCCAGGAATGCAAAACGGAGAATCAGCAACAGGAACTGATTGATCACTCCTTATGCTCGTGCCTATAGACTGCCAAACGAGACATACTCCTAGCTGCAGCTGAGGATCCTGGTGGGTTAGTTGGTGCTGAACCCATATTCCTATCTCTGCTTCCCTCTTGATTTTCCATGATAAAAAGTTATTGACACTGGAGAGGTCTCTCTGACTTGCTGCCTACGTGACCTAGAACTTCTCAAGAAAGATGGCTCAGTATCTGAGGAAATACTTCAGTATTCAAATAAGTCCTTCAGGCATCACTGGACATTTTACATTGTTCCATGTTGCTGAGGGATCTTTACTCATAAATTAGATTCTTTAGATCCTTCTTTTGTAGACCCCTTCTCAAGAGCTCTCCTTAAGAGCTATTCTGCAAGAAGAAAGGATTGTAAATTCCAAGTCCTTGCTATGGACTTGTGAGCGACCATAAAACCCTCTCATTGATAGTCACTATGCTGGAGAGAAAAGAAGGTTGGGAACACCACCAAAACTAGGTGGTGAAAATACTTGAAATAAGTATTTCTCTTCAATTAAGGCTGTCTAGTTACCAAGTCTTGCTTGTTATTTGTAAACAAACATAAAGAGTACTTAGGAAACCTTGAAAAATCCTTATGCCTCGGCTTTTGAGGGGACTTCTCTGTGCTGAAACCTGACTTTGAGCAACCACTTGTCAGCGGGTACTTTCTTGGTTATTAGCATACTGCAGATACTGCTGATACAGCTCCCCATGTAGCTGCCATCACCACCAGATGTTTTGCCTCTCTTTCCTCTAGGGAGCTGTGCAAGACAGTTATTGTCTTGGACGTGTGGTTATATGTCTTACAGGTTTTTGATGGACCACATTTGTTTAACTGAAAAACAGTTAAAATCCTGTACAGACTCTGGGACAACACTTCAAAGATTTTTTTCCCCCTTCTCTTAAAAATAAGGCTTATTTTAGATCTTTCAGTACAAATCACTCCATTACCTTTTTTGTGGGTTTTTTGGTCCTCATTGAAATTAAAAACCAAATGGCAGCCACAATTGCGAAAAAAGTCACAGAATACTCAGTGCAGCTCTACCATTGACCTGCCTCAGCTTTTCTCTCATTCCTTATTTAGGACCATTCTCACCAGGACTTACTTTGACAAGACGCAAGCCCTCTTGTGGCTCTATGAGCCAGTTCTTGTTTCAGACACGAGGTCTTACCATAACTACTCTCTCTAGTATTGTATAGGGAAGAGGATAGAGATCCACTGAGTTCTCAAAAATTAAATCCTCTGTGAAGACAAGTTTAAATTAAAAAGGTGCCTTTGGCTAAAATAATATAATAATCCCTCATTTTGGAAAATTTCTTGCTCTGCCTACCAGAAAGCATGCATTCTTTGTGAATGTGAGTGCAGTGATGGGAACCTTGCAATAACAGACTCAGTGTTGTCCTTAGACTGAAGTACACCTTTTCCACTTGCTTGACCTCTTTGAGAACCTCATTTGAAATCATTCCGACCCTTAGAGTTAATTGGAGCAAACAGAATTTGCTGTCAGCCAAGACCCATTCTTGCAGGATTGTCTGGCTGTGGTAATCTCAGTGATCAGCTTGACCCACAGTTTGAGCAGAGCAGCATGTATTTTGTTTTACGCAAATGTATTTGATGTCCTAAATCAAATATGATATATAGAATCTGCAAAGGTGAGTTTATTTTGTATACCTTCCAAAGTTTTGTTTAGCATAAAGATGACTCCTCTTTTCCCTTAGCATCATCAGAGCAGTGTAATGGTGATAAAGCCCTTTGAATTGTGTAAGTAAATTTAAATTCTTGGATAATCTGAAAGCTAGCGATCTTTGTTCACCATATTAGTGTACATTTATAAAGGAAGCTTGTTGTTCTTTCTTACCTATGCACAGGGGACAGCACATCTAAATGACATTTAAAGAGTACTCAGAACAGTTTCCCATGAGACCAATTCTAAAATTTTTTTCTCTAAAGTTGTAATAGCATTTAATTTAATCCACTTGTTTCTTTTCATAGACCCCACCCTTTTTGTGTCATTGCGCTCTTAAGTGTCAAGGGGCTTGTGTCTCTGTTATATTTGCATTAAGTTTTTCAGGTGCTTAGAATTGTTTATTTCTCTTGCCGAGAGATCTGAATGTCACTGTTGCACAAAGCCTGTCAAGTAGGGATAAGAATATGAATGAAATGAGGATACAAACCTGCCACAGCCGAGTGACCTCCCTCCCCACTTCCCTTCTTCACATTAATAAAAACACATTCCTCAAGAGTTCAAGTTATCTTTATTCAAGTACGTCTTGAAATCTGCAAGGTGTTGACATGGCATAGCACTCACAACTCTGCTATCTAATTATTGTATTTCATCCAGAAATAATACTGCGTTTGGCAGAACACAACTGAGATTGCTGTTTGTGTGCAAGGACTTGAAGACCCATCATCAGATAACTTTGATGCTGGGGACTCCAGTCTGGAGTTACAAAAGGTGTGAATGACACATGGACTGTCACTTTAAGATATAAAAGAAGTTATTCAGCTGTAACTGGAGGTTTTAAAGATGTGTAGTTCATTTGCACGTTTGCCTTCTACTTGCCTTTCTTCCTTCTTCACAACGCAGCATGCTTCTTTCTTAGATTACAGGTTAAGAGAAACAGATCTACATGTGTGTGTTCCAGCTTGTATGCTGTGTAGGCTGGTTTTGAATTCGTGTGTTGCGTTGTCACCCCAAGCTAGGACGGCCATGTGAACTACACATCTTGAGAGCACTGTCTTTATAGCTAGGTTTATCTCTTTCTTCTAAACCAGAAACTCAGCACGATGCAGCGTAGAGGAAATTCTTAAAATACTACCCCAGTGGCACAGCAGTTCTACAGATTTCAGATGAGGATGTACAATGTGATACATGTTTGTTTAACTTTTATACCCTGAGAGAGCTTAGAGACATTTGGCTAGAGGAGCATTGGCGTGACTGGATACATAGACAGCCTTGGGTTTGGCAATCTGGTGTTTTCTCCAAGGGCTACAAATAGTCTTTTTGAATTTCAGAAGAACTTTTTTTAAAATCCAAATAGCAATTAATTACTATATCGAATACAGAATCTTGCCTTTATATTATGGTGAAAAAAAAACTATAGGCACAGGGTTATAGTGTACTTGTGTACTTGAAATTTTTGTTAGATGTTAGGAGTTTGAAAGGAAGTACGGTTTGCTTTGTTACCTATCCTACTTGATAAAATTTGTCATTAAGCTAAATGAGAGAAGCAGGTAGCCACAGTATCCTGTGTTTGTGACAAATACATTTAATTAAAAAAAAAAAATCTTAAAGTGCAACTTGCAGATGCCTCTAGAAGCAAATATGAAATGTGATCAATCTGTGGCCTGTAAGAAAAGAGGGAATCTTGTAAGCTGTATCTTGCTAAACCTTTATGTTGTTTATAATGTTTTGTGATGGAATATATGAATAAGTGGTCAGTGCAACTGCTGTGTGTCTGTGCAAGGGCAAATTCTTGAGACTAGTATGATGTAGTGGGATCAGCCTTACTGATGCGATGCTTTAAAAAACGAGCTGTAACTTACCACCACACACAACAGTGCAGCACTTTTGCCAGATGGGATGGTTATTGCAGCTTTAGAACTAGAGTTTGAATGGCCAGATAAGCAAAATGTCTCTCCAATACAAAAAAAGATGGTATTCTGCAGGGAAAATTGTCATTTAAAAAAAATCAGATTTCAAACCTTTTTTTTTTTTACACTCTGTAATACTATGCAATAATGCAAAAAATACTTTGTTTTGACATGAACTCGAGAGGGAATTTATTGGAGAACACAGAGGGTTTTAAAAGTAGGACTAGGCTGTAGCTTGGACAAGAATGTAGTATAGAATTTTAGGTTCTAACATAGTTTTTTTAAATAAATCTGAATTTAATTGTTACACAAATATTCACATTTCAGAGCTGAAGAAAGACCAGTTAAGAAAAGAAAAATGCAAAGCTGCAGCTTCCAGAAGAAGAAGCTGAAATTAATGGAGGCCATGTTGGAAGAACAAAAGAAGTTGAGTAGAGCTATGGAAGAAACCTGTAGAGAAGTGCGCAGGATTCTGGATCAGCAAAACATCATTCAAGTTCAAAGCTTACAGTTACAGGAGAGAATGATGAATCTACTGGAGAAAATGATCTCCAAATCTAATGTGTAGTTTCCTTCGTGAATGCCTCTGAGATTACTCCTGATATTATAGATATCCCTTTATTGCACACCATATGTGTGTCTGTTGCCCTATTCCCAGGTTTTCCATGGAAATTGAAACCATAGTGTAATCTTAGTTAAGCAAAGAGAACAGATAATGCAGGGTGAGAGCTATCCAGTATGTTAAAATTAGTGCAATATATGCCTAAGTTGAATTATTTTTATACGGAAAGGTTAAGGGATGAATAGCTCTGGGAACTTCAGTACTATTTATGCCTAGGTCAGGTATTTTACAGACAGTGGTGGTGTATATTGCTTCACATCAAGGACTATAGCTTGACCTGTTGTAGGAGAATGAAATAGTGCATTTCTAAACACGGTAATTGCATCTTGACTTTGCTGATGATTAAACTCTGTTTTGAAACATACACCATGATTGTACAAGTGACCTATGGTTCTTGTGAAGAGCTAGTTGGGACCATGAGATACATAATATTAAACTCCATGCCTGATATGAATAGTACTCTATTAGAGTAAAAATAGTCTATTCAAATACACTTTTGATATAAAAAGAAAACCCCAAAACCACCTTACTATATACTGAATACTAAAATGTATAGAAGATACTTGAAGTTGCTTTTGATATTAAATGTTTAATTTTTTTCATTATAAACTGGAATCTGCTGACTTAATGAACAACCAGCAATGAAAACTCTCATTTATTCTCTATCACAAAAGAAAAATATTGTACTGTGTGTATATACATATATATATATAATCTATCAAATGAAATAAAGAAAAAGAAGAAACTTATTATTGCTGGGCAGATATTATGCTTTGGGACAGTGAAAAATAGTGGAAGAGATAACAACAGTCAAAGGTTTTTAATTCTTAATTGAAGTGTAAAGATCTCCTCTACTGATGCCCAATATACAGAGATGGAAGTCATGAAGAACATTGGACACCTCTACAGGAGTATTTGTGGTGGGACAACTTCGGAATGCAGTTAGATGTTTTAAGGTGTGGTCTGTAAGGCAGCTCAACATTGATACACCACAAGAGGGAGCCGGAGGCATAAGGGACTGTATTTAAGTCGTAAAAATGAAGTACCAGCGAGTGTTTGGTTCTCCAGTGAAACACGACATTGAAATAACCTTCAACATAAATTCAAAAATTCATCAGCCGAATTTCCTATATACCATTTCTTTTTGCGTTCTCCTTGAAAAAAGTATTTCTGCTGCTTTTACTGTGTTTGCAAGCCTGAAGGTTAGATTCAGATATAGAAGTATAGAAAATATAGCATTAAAGTCAGGGCTAGGAACTCAGGCCATTTTCCATTCCCACTATTAAATAATGTCCCCTTTTTGTTTTTTAAGGTGTGTGCATTTTCCTATATAATTTAACATGTTGTTGCCTAAGCTAATGTTAGCTAAACTGTTTTAAAATGCAGACCCAATCAATTAATCTGTAATTATGCTTGGTGAGTAGATAAAGGTTATACTCACCAAGCAAATTAATAGTATGTGGACATATTTCTTAGAAGATCCTGCAGTTATGAAATTAAGAATGATTAAGTATGTAAATGTGGCCCATTCCTACAGAATTTAATTTAGTTCATGATAACAGGATAATGCAAAAATGTAGCAGAAGACTGAACCTGCAGAAAATGGTGGCTGCTGAATTATAAATGAAATAACTTTCCTTTACTCCACCTTTAGTACATTGATTGGGTGACTGGAAAAGGGCAAGTGTCTGGTGTGATTCTGCAAAGATGGAGTGATAGCTGACATGTAGCAGAAGTTAAATTCCAAATACTTTTGTGTAGGTATTTGAATTAGACATATATGAAAGAGAATCATGAAACCTTATCACATCTCTGCCTGCAGAACTACTGGTAAAAGCACGACTGTTCCTAACGTCGTACAGGTGATGAGAATACTTGCAAGAGCATTGTCATACAGGCATATAAGAGAGAGGGAACGTATGTTCTGTGCTTTGTCATGGTTTTGCACATTCCAAATGTAGATCTGTCACAGATTCAGGTGGGCTGATGTATCCATGATGTAGTGCTTCCTGACACTTTAACTTGCTTACAGTAAGATATAAAGAAACTCTCCCTGACTCAACGGGAATTAATAATATTTACTGATACTATCTACTTGAACCTTATAGCAATTAAATCCAGCTAATGAGCAATAACAATGGCAGCATATTTGAACCTTGTACTGTAGAGTAGGTAGCCCCTCTCCTTACATGCTATGAGAATTATAACTCCAGAGCTGTAGGAACACAGGAATGGAGGAAAACCGCTGATTCCTTGCCTGCTACCACAAGCAACCGTGTTGAGACAGCCACCACCGCTTCACCAAGGCAAAGTTCTGCCTGACCAACTAAGTGGCCTTCTGTGATGGAGTGACCACATCAGTGTATAAAGGGAAGAGCTACCAATGTCGTCTATCTGGACTTCTGTAAGGCCTTTGACACAGTCTCCCACAACATCCTTCTCTCTAGAGTGGCGAGATACGGATTTGATGGATGGACTGTTTGGTGGATGAGGAATTGGTTGAATGGTCACATCCACACAGTAGTGGTCAATGGTTCAATGTCCAGATGGAGATCGGTGATGAGTAGTGTCCCTCAGGGGTCCGTATTGGGACCAGTACTCTTTAATATCTTCATCAATGACACAGTGGGATTGAGTGCACCCTCAGCAAGTTTGCAGATGACACCAAGCTGAGTGGCAGGGTTGACATGCCCGAGGGACAGGATGCCATCCAAAGGGACCTGGACAGGCTTGAGGAATGGGCCCATGTGAACCTCAGGAGGTTCAACAAGGCCAAGTGCAGGGTCCTGCACCTGGGTCAGGGCAACCCCCGGTATCAATACAGGCTGGGGGAGAAGGGATCGAGAGCAGCCCTGCTGAAAAGGACTTGGGGTGCTGGTGGATGAAAAGCTGGACAGGAGCCGGCAATGTGTGCCCACAGCCCAGAAGGCCAACCGTGTCCTGGGCTGCATCCAAAGCAGCAGGGCCAGCACAGCAAGGGAGGGGATTCTGCCCCTCTGCTCCACTCCCGTGAGATCTCACCTGCAGTGCTGCATCCAGCTCTGGAGCCCTCAGCACAGGAAAGACATGGACCTGTTGGAGAGGGTCCAGAGGAGGCCACAAAAATGATCAGAGGGATGGAACACCTCTCCTGTGCAGAAAGGCTGAGAGAGTTGGGGTTGTTCAGCCTGGAGAAGAGAAGGCTCTGGGGAGACCTTATTGCAGCCTGCCAGTTCTTCAAGGGGGCTTATAAGAAAGATGGGGGCAGACTTTTTAGCAGGGCCTGTAGCGATAGGACAAGGGGTAATGGTTTTAAACTAAAAGAGGGCAGATTTAGACTAGATCTAAGGAAGAAATTTTTCACATGGCTGATGTGTGTGGTAGATGCCCCGTCCCTGGAAACATCCCAGGTCAGGCTGGACGGGGCTCTGCGCAACCTGATCCAGTTGGAGATGTCCCTGCTCACTGCAGGGGGGTTGGACTAGATGACCTTTAAAGGTCCTTTCCAACCCAAACCATTCTATGATTATATATGATATATATAATATATCATATATAATATAATTCTATGATATTATATTCTATAGAAACCCTTTTGTAAATGTGTGGACCTGTATCTTAAAATGAATTAGGTGTTTTGTCACCAGAATTATAAGCAGCACTGTATTACAGATAGGTTGGCTGCAAGTTAGAAGATTGCTTCTAGGATTATTTCTGGTCAATTTATACCACGTTCTTCTTGTATCAACACCGTGATTTAGCTGCTTCCTTTAGTGTTTACTCCTGAGAGTCAGAGGTCGTATGCCATGCAGCCCTTCTTCAGAGGAATAACACTTTTTTATAAGGTAGGAATTATTCTGATGGCTGTTTTGCTAATTTTGCTCTTTGAGTTTATTCTTTTTAAAGATGACCAGAATGATACACAACATTCTTGATGAGACTCTGAACATTGCCTTACATAAATGCATTAAAGGAAGTGGTGTTTTCTGGAGGTTGTGAGATTTTATTTCTACATATAACATCATTTTTAGTAGTTAAATGCAGAAGTTCAGTTTTAAAAACTCATCTCTTTAACAAAAGGCTTTATTCATATCCTTCCAGATTATGTCTGTTCTAGCCATGTTTTTGTCCAGAGAGTGAACACAGCACTGCAGTAGACAAATACAACTATTTTCATGCATGACATAATTTTTCTAATGCTCTTTTTGACAACAGGTTGAAAATTCCCTATCTACCCTTAGTTTCTTTTTGCTCCTGTTTCATTTGTTTTAGTAAAGACTGAACATTTACCTGAAAAAATAGATTGAGTGTTTTTTCTGTTTGTTTGTTTTTTAAGGTAGGCACAAATTTCTCATCTAATGGGACAGTTAGCTGCAGGTAAAGATATTTGAATGGTTGAGATATTCAGACTAATAATAATTTGAAAGACTTGCCTAGAATTAAAATGCTTGGTAGAATTCCTGGTTTTGCAAAACTGAGACACTGCTGCTGTATCTGTAAGAGTAGGGAGTTTAGAGTGTAAAAGGAGAGCAAATCAGGGGTTACTCAAGTTTATCACTATAACTATGACATTAAAGGAACTCCCTCATGGCTTCTAGAAGTGTGATCAACAAACAAACTGTAGCACAGGAAAACAAATTTCTTATTTTCAGGGCAGTAACGGGGTCAACACAGTACGATATCACTTTCACTAAATGAAGTGTCTGTATTACATATACACACACAGATGGTGCAAATGGAAAAAATAAATAGGGGAGGAAATATACTGCCTGGAGGCAGGTGACTTTGAAAGTGATGTAAAAATAGAATGTAAAGGAACCTGAGGAGGCAGATGAGAAAAGGAGACATTGAGAAACATGCAAGCAATTGGGGAGAAGCGGACTGTGATGAAAGATAGGAAGAAAAATGTCGGGCAAAGGGGCAAAGTAAATGCCTCCAAGCAAAGCTAGTAATTACAGGGAAGAGAAGGAACAAAACATTTAAAAAGACAGGAAAGTGAAAATGGAAGAAAAAACACAACGTTGAAGGAGAAAAGTTTATGGTATGAATATGAAGAGCTAACACTAGTGAAATGATGTGTATTTTGAATAGATGGCTCCTACACATAACTTATAAATAGCGTACAGGAAATAGTGACTTTTTTTTCCCACCAGAGAAAATTAATTTTCTGGACAAATATTTCGAAGTAAAAATATTTTTCACAAACTAGAGAGGTTAAGTAATTTGTAGGAGGATCCCATTATAATTAAACAGCATTTTCTCATGTTGGTAGTAACAATTTGTTGGTTAAAATGCTTTGTAAGCATTTTTTTTTACTTGACTTCAAATTGGAGAAGCATTTTAAGATTTCAGTTTATTTCAGGCCTTGCTAAGTTTAACAGTTATCCACAAAACCAGGCAATATAATTATGGACATCGTTTTCTCCATAAATGGCTATCTCTTTTACAAAGTACAAAACCAGCAAACACCACACATACAGAATTTTAAAAATTATTTTTTCCAGACTTAGTCTGACCAATTCAGTGCAGACAAAAAGTTTACAACTCTGTGGACTTCCCCTAAGTTGACAGCCTGGTTCTGTGAATAGTCTATGGTACTAAAGTTAATGGGACTATTCAGATGAGTAAATTTATTGAACTGTTTATATATATGTTTGCAGGATTGGTTCCTACACTGATAACGTAATGTGAAAGGCAAATTTGAAATAGAAAATTAGGAACATTTGGTGGAGTTATGTCAGCAAGTAAATACTAACCATCTGGTCTC